GTATGTGGTGAATTGATTGAAAATGGTGCAATTGATCTCACCAAAGCTGCTACGGCCGTTATGGTTTTGGGAAGAGCGGTGTATACGAGTAAGTTCTATTCTCAACATTCATCATCAGCGTTTAACTGCTCTTGGCTACTTCTCGGCTGTCGTATTAGTACTAATTTTATTACATTAGTAATAATAATAATAATAATTTCCGATAGTTGTTCGCCTTAATAACAGGTTATTAAGACGAACAACTATCGGAAATACATCCTAAGGGATGGCACCGTCGACATCTGTCGAGCTTGTGGCCATCCCGGGGAGTCACTTCGGCATGTTATCTCCGGTTGTTCCATGCTTTCTAACTCTGAGTATCTGCATAGACACAACCTAGTAGCCAGAATCCTACACCAGGAGCTCGCTCTGAAATACGGCTTCGTGGAACGGATACTGCCGTACTATAACTACTTTCCGGAGGCCGTGCTGGAAAATAACCGCGCCAGGCTCTATTGGGACCGGTCCATCATCACACGGACAGGACGATTGTGGCGAACAAACCTGATATCGTGTTGATGGACCGGGCACAGTCGCGGGTATTTTTCGAGTTTTCTTTTTCGAGCATTTTTGGCTCATCAAATTATTGTAGTGGATGGGGCGGTCTAAAATATGGTCAAACTAGTTTCATTTAATGTGTAAAATATTTGCGTAAAATCAAGAAGTCAATATGCATTATTTTTGTCCAAAATACTTTGCAAAGTGAAGATTGTTTTAGCGTATGCCAGATTATAGTAAAATTACTTTGCGTTCAGCACAGTACTTATAGAATATCACATTAGCTCAACCCAGTCAAGCTTCGATGTATGTTTTTTCGTTTCCGTTGGAACTTCAGAATGTAAAATAGAGATACACACTATCCTGTTCATAAGGTATGTTGTGACCAAACGCCTTTTACGTATTTAATATAAGTAAATATCATTTTTATCTACAATTATTTCTATAGGATAAGTTAAATAAATTATCAAATATAAAATTAATCTTTATAAAGACACATAATGGAATTTTATATGAAAAATGTGACTTGTAGTTAGTCTACAAATAGTTTTTTTCCAAACGTAGGAAATATAAAAATCCTACTGTAAACGAAACTGAACAGTTTTTAAAATATGAAATTTTTTGAAATTTGGTTAACCTCACTACATATTATAAAAGTAAGTCGTTCCGTTGTCTGTCTATCCCTGTGTATGCTTAGATCATTTTAAACTACGCAACGGATCTTGATGCGGTTTTTTATATTAAATAGAGTGATTCAAGAGGAAGGTTTATATGCATAATACATTGCATCCGTGCGAAGCCGGGGCGGGTCGCTAGTAAATTATAAAGTCAACTAAACAAAAATCCTCTTTTCTGGTTTGGTCTTTTTTATATTCAGTTCAAACACAGACTAGTAATTATTTAGTTCAATTTTTTGAATTAACCCTTATCAACTTCAGTAAATTACATACTTTGATTTAACAGAAAACGTCCGTCTATTCATTTATTTACGTCATGGTTCCTTTATTGCCCACCACAATATATATAGCAGGATTTCTTATAACTTTTACAAACGAACATACTATTGTGAAATTGGGGCTTAATATTTTGATAAACTACAAAGGGTTTGTATAGAGATATATAATTGCCTTGAACATAAAAAATACGCATTTTATGGACGGTTAAAGTATTGGAAGAAAAGCCGCAAGCATCACATCACACAAGATGAAAAAAAAAAAAAACAACGTTTTTCATTTACGTGTCCGAATAAACTTTTGTTTTGTTATGAATGATGCTGTATAACTTTAAACATTGGTATGATATAAATACTACACATATATTAATAACTTCAATAATATTTGAATAAAGTAATATTCTACGAGTTTTGTACAATACTGAAAAACATATCATTGAAGCGAAAAACGACTGAGATCACTAAGCAAAATACAAAAACGAAACACGGATTCTCGTTTTTAATTAAGAGTTGTTTCATTCCATAAGCCACACTGAATTTCAATATCTTCGGAGTAGAAATAAAACTTGTTAAAAAAATATTATATTACATAGGTATTTCTATCATTATTTGTAAAGTTTAAATTATTTAAAATTTGTGAGTTTGTAATCCAAATTTATATTGAACAACATACAAAAGAATATAAGACATAAGACATTGAAAAGAATATAAATTAATTGACATAGAAAAGAATGGCTGCTGTATTTACTAGCTGAAGTATAATCATTATCATCTGAAAGCAGAAACACTGACCCTCTTGTCACCAGCGCCAGCAATAAGTATGTATATAATAATAATTATAATAAAGTATAAATGAAACTAATTTTACGGATTTATCGCGTTTATTTTTAATTTTAATTCCCGACGTTTCGAACCCTTTACAGCGTTCATGGTCACGAGACAGACTGAGGTGTTAGACGTCTGATTGTCATAGTTAACCCGGGCTACCGTCAGTTTTTGAATTATTAATTTTGTGTCCGATCTATGCAGAGGGAGCTAATTGTATCTTGTCTTGCAGTAGTGGTTCGTTTGGGCCTAGATTTAATTTTATTGATGACAGGATCCCAAGCTGATGGTAGTACCCAACCTTCTTCTCTATTGAAATTAGGGTGTTTTTTAATTTCAATAGCCTCGCGAATCATCCTTGGGAGGAATCGGTGTTCTTTTGCAAGGATCTGTGGTTTGTCAAACCTGATGTAGTGGTTGGGCCTATTCAAAATGTGCTCACAAACTGCAGACTTGTTCGATCTATTGTGTTTTATGTCAGCTATATGTTCTTTCACGCGGGTTTTTATTGCTCTTTTCGTTTGACCTATGTAAGAGAGCCCACATTCACAGTCAAGTTTGTACACTCCTGGATCTTGCAGAGGGATATTACACTTGACAGATGGTAAAAACTGACTAATCTTCTTCAGCGGCTTGTAGAATGTATTAATTGAAGCCTGCTTTAAGATATAGCCAATCTTGTCGGTGACTCCTCTGACGTATGGTAGAACAGCAGGTACTCGCTCCACTGTGGCTGGTTTCACTCGGTCACTGTGACGTAGGCGCGGTGCTACGAAGCTTGTTGTCATGCAGAACTTGCTTGACATGTTGAAGCTCAGCAGCCAGGTGTTGTTTGTCACAGATCCCTTGTGCTCTCTGAAACAAAGATTTACCCACGGTAGCTAACTGGGATGGATGGTGGTGAGAATCACCGTTTAGGTATCTATTTGTATGGGTTGCCTTCCTATACACAGTGTGACTTACAGTGTTATTTGGATTGCGGATGACCAAACATCTAAGAAAGCTAAAGAGTTATTATGCTCTAATTCCATAGTGAATTGTATTTTGGAATTTACTGAGTTAAGGTGATTTAGAAATGCATTAACTTTACTTGTTGGTAAAATTGTGAAGGTGTCATCTACATACCTCTTGTAAAACCTTGGATAAGTGGGAGCTGTGCGAAGGGCCTTCTCCTCAAAGTCTTCCATAAATATGTCAGCGACAATGGGAGATACTGGGCAGCCCATTGCTACACCATCTATCTGTATGTAAAATTCCTCCTTCCAAAGCAAATAGCCGGATGTTAGGCAATGTTTAAGTAGTAATTCATATCTTAAAGCAGGCTTCAATTAATACATTCTACAAGCCGCTGAAGAAGATTAGTCAGTTTTTACCATCTGTCAAGTGTAATATCCCTCTGCAAGATCCAGGAGTGTACAAACTTGACTGTGAATGTGGGCTTTCTTACATAGGTCAAACGAAAAGAGCAATAAAAACCCGCGTGAAAGAACATATAGCTGACATAAAACACAATAGATCGAACAAGTCCGCAGCTTGTGAGCACATTTTGAATAGGCCCAACCACTACATCAGGTTTGACAAACCACAGATCCTTGCAAAAGAACACCGATTCCTCCCAAGGATGATTCGCGAGGCTATTGAAATTAAAAAACACCCTAATTTCAATAGAGAAGAAGGTTGGGTACTACCATCAGCTTGGGATCCTGTCATCAATAAAATTAAATCTAGGCCCAAACGAACCACTACTGCAAGACAAGATACAATTAGCTCCCTCTGCATAGATCGGACACAAAATTAATAATTCAAAAACTGACGGTAGCCCGGGTTAACTATGACAATCAGACGTCTAACACCTCAGTCTGTCTCGTGACCATGAACGCTGTAAAGGGTTCGAAACGTCGGGAATTAAAATTAAAAATAAACGCGATAAATCCGTAAAATTAGTTTCATTTATAATGTATAATTGCGTAAATACACGAAATTATTATATAATAAAGTAGTAAAATTAAAACATTGTTGGAGTTTCTTCGCGAGTGATATAAAAAAAGGGAAAAAAAATTAATTAATCTTGGGAGAAAATTGGTAAATCGGCTATATCTCACGTCGAACGTGACTAACGACGCATTAGCCGGTAATAAATGAGTTCTGTGTTTTCAGTGTTTGCATTCAAGTGGAAAATTCAAGTGTTGGAAACCAGCCAAATATATTTTAGATAGACCTTATATTTCTTAACCGAATTCACGAACCACTGAGAATCTTCATCCCTAGTGATATTCAATGAAAAAATCGCAATTGATTTCAAGAGAACAGTCTGCTAGGTACTAACTAAACTTTTAACAACAACAATATGCTAATACAGATCAGCGAAATAGATAAAGCAAGTTTATTCTATTTACTCTTCAAAACTTACTAACCAAATCAAAACGGATTTTGGTAAATCTGCTTGCTAACTTAGAATGGAAATCTTCAAAATTTTCTTATCAAAAATGTTACATTATTTATTTAATTTCTTTTTATTGTTACTTTTTCTCTTCATTGTTATTATTCCTTTAAATAATTTCACCGTAATTAACCGTTAAAATAAGATCTTAATTTATACACAAAATGATTGCCACGCAACTAAAAAAAGTTTCCTTTTTATTTTTAAAAGAAATTTATATTATATGTTCGAATAAATAAAAAATTATCGCGGAATATCAACAGATATATCTGCAATTATGTATGCCACAGCAGTCCAAAACGCAGTGCATAAATCTAACTCATTCGGATCTTCAACGTTCATTGCATCTCCTTCTGTGTGGTGAAACCAGAAGTATCTTTCGTTGGCATTATGAAGGCTAGCGCCTGGTACACCGGTTTTTATTATTACACTAATGTCAGACCCGGGATTGTCATCTTCAACTAACGTAGATGCATTAATCGATTCGAATAATTTCAGAATTTCAGCCACAATGCATCTTGCTTCTTGGGTTCCAGCAACAGCTAAGCCAAGTGGGGCAAATGTTCCTTCATCAGACTCCATTATAAAGTTAATATTAGCGCTCTCATTTCTATGTTTCTCTTCATATGCGTATGCGCCTACTAATCCCAATTCCTCAGCTGTCCAGAAAATTGATCTAAGTGTTCTTCTAGGTTTCAAATTCAAATTTTTCAGTATAACTGGTGCCGCCCAACTAATGAATAGACCACCGCCATCGTCCATAGCCCCCTGACCAACATCCCAACTATCAATGTGACCAGACACAATAACAAGTTTCTCAGGTTTCTCAGTACCCTTCAAATCGATAATTGTGTTTCTAGAAATTTTCGTATCAAATGTTGAAGACATTTTAATATTTAGTTCTACAGGTTCTCCGCGGTCAAAAAATCTTCTTATTAAATCGGCGTCTTCAATAGTGATCGCAGCCGTTGGGATTTTTGTAACATTACCTTCATACGTCTGAGATCCAGTATGTGGTGAATTGATTGAAAATGGTGCAATTGATCTCACCAAAGCTGCTACGGCCCCTTTTTGAGCGGCTTTGGTAGCTCCTTGTGATCTATATATCACGGTTTCACTATACGTTGTAAAATGTGGATCGTAAAGAACAATTTTACCTTTTATATAATCGTCTGGTGTAGCCTCTAATTGCTCAAAATCAGAAATAACTATAACCTCCGCTGTTATCCCTTCCTCTGGTGTACTGACGCTTCTTCCAAGTCCTAACAAAGCAATATTTTTAACACGCGGCTCAAGCATGGTTATGACTTCATTACCACGTACCCAATGTGGAACCTTGAAGAACATTAACAGAATTAATTTAATTTCTAATATGTTTAAAAAAAAACAATAAATGCTTACCTCAACTGTTTCAGTTATGATATCAGTAATGCCTTCATCTCTTGTTAGCTGAATCATGTAATCAATAGAATCCTCCAGTACTTTAGAACCCGATGGCCGTGCTCCAAATTTATCCACAAATTTTGCCAACCTTATAACAAAAACAATATTTAAACGTTACAAATGCTACATGCCTGATGCCTTTCTCGACCGTAAACCAGTATATATTTAAAACTCAATAACATTTTTATAAAACTTAAATAAATTTATATTCCTAAATAAATGAATAAACTTAATATTTGTGAAATGAAATTTATGTTTGTAAAACGTCCTTACCCCCACAGTAAGGTCAATGTTTAAAAAAAACCTCAAAACAAAGAAATTTATAGCTTAAAAAATGTGACTTTTGTAAAATTCGACATTTGTACGAAATAACGTTTATTATTTCTGTTTTTTTGTTTTTTCTTACTTGGTATAAAAATTTAGAATTTTCCACCAGACCACTCCTTCTTTATAGATAAAATAAAAATGTACTTACTCGTCATAACTCTTTCTCTTAAAATCTCCCTCAGTAACATATTTAATGATCTCATCTTTAACATCTTTATAAGATGCAATCTCATCAAGCAACTCGTTGCTTAGCAAACTACGGCAACTATCAGAAGTTTTAGGAACGTTTTTCGCATGGCTCAAAACATAAATGGACAGGCCTATTAAAACACGAAGAACAACAACCATGATTGAGCCTTTACTAGCTGAAGACTACAGCCATTCGAGACACCTAAGCCTGACAGATATTGATAACATACATACATATATAGAGCAAAGCTATTGATTGTGATATCACACACTTAAAATGTTATCGATACTTCGACATTAAATTGAGATGTTCAGATGGATTAAAGATAAATTCTGTAGATGTAAGAAATATATGTTTATACACCAAATAAAAACATACATATTCTATTAATAAAGTAAATAGATTTTATAAAAAGTACTAAAGTCCTACTTACTCGATGACATGACGAAATTCATTTAAAATACTTTAAAACAATACGTAGAATAAACGTGGTTATATCATTATATTTTAGGGAATTATTCGCAATTTTTGTTTTGTAACTCACCACACTATGTGAATAAAGGAATCAAATGGTGACAAAAGAGCTGGTTCTTTTCTCGCTCAAAGGTTAAGCATAACTGTTCAACGAGGAAATGCAGCTAGCGTTCTTGGCACCATGCTGCGTGGAGTAGGTAGAAATATGTAATTATTTTAGATAGATAATCTTGTAAATATTAGAGGAATCAAAATTGATGAACATCTAGCCCGTCCAGAACGCAACTTTTGACAGTCGATAAATAGTTGAGGACACTCACTCGTCGTATGTCTTCCTCTTGAACGGGCCCGTGACATATTCGATGATATCTTTGACAGCGGTATCATAAGCAGCAATTTCTGTTACAATATCCACATCACAAAAACGCGAATCCGTGTAATGCTTCCTTTTCACTTTAGCACCATTCACTCTAGATAGAAGAATTAAAAGGATGAGCACCTTTGTCGATGGGACGTGCATTTTCAATCCTAGGACATTTATGAATGCATAAATTGAACAAGTGGTTATTTAGCAAGACGCTCACGGAAGCAACCAATGGATCAATCATTCGTCCATTGTTAATAACATGTTAACTTTCTAGGTCATAATAGGATACAAATTTTTTTAAAAAGATAAAACCCCACGACAAGGGCTCCGGGCCTATTTCCAAACAAGTAGGTGGTTTTTCAATAACTAAGATTATCATTACATCAAACCATTGCATCAAACCATTGTACTCTCTGTTCATTAGTAAATAAAAAACAGGAAACCAATAATTTTGGTACAATTTTTCAAAATCTCCCTTTTCCATGTAACATGTCCTTTTTTTGAGACGCAAATAGTGTAAGTGATAAGGAATTTTAAATCAAAAATGCTTCATTTCAATTCTTTGATTGTGTTCCACTTTGACTGTCTCGCTTGTCGTATACGAATGTATCGGCTTATTTTGCTTATTAATTGGACAATAAATATAAAAAGAAAATCAAGTAACAAAATAAGTATTGAGAATTCGAGCTACCCGGTAATAAAACTAGAAAATAAGAAAGAAATGGGCAAAATTCCCTCTACCAATCCTTAATACGCCGCCGTTGTCGATTCGATTCGTACTTTTTTGAATTCGAAGAAGCTACACGTGGATAAATAAATAAAATAGACAAGCAATGGACAAACGTCCACTCGTTTCAGAGATTAGCCGGAACAAACAGACAGACAGAGACAAAAAATGTTATTTTGCTATATGTACCGTGTATACATCCATATGCATTTAGTAAAAAGCGGTTATTTTAATATTACAAACAGGCACTCCAATTTTATTTATCTGTATAGATAATGTAAAGCAGAACAATATTTAAGCGCCGCCCAGTATGGACATGCGTCATCTTTATTAAAACATCATTGCTGCAATCCTTAAAATCCCACCGTTGTTGATTCATTCGTACTTTTTTCAATTAAGATTGATTATCAGTTTCTTGACATTATCTGACATGTTTCATATTATGATCCGATTTATATTGCTTCATCTGTATGTGTTGTATATAACCCTATTCGTCATATCCGAGATGGCACGACATATACCGTATATTCGCCAATGTTGGCTTATGAAGTTAGCTAAGAATCTCTTTCGGTCAAAACATTCTTTTCTATATTTTTTATTATTTCTTTAAAAAAAGCTATACTGTAGTTCGGAAAATGTATTAAAAAATTTACTGAAAGAGAGATGTTTCTTACCGAAGTAGCCAAGGACTTTATATCTGTTATCGACAACAAGAAAGCGGATGGGACCTCGATAGAAGCGAAGAAACAAGCTTGCATGGCATTAACAAATAGTTAAAAAGCTGCTTTTTTTTTTCATTTGAACGATTTAAATACTTAAATCTCACTGGTAATTTATTTTTAGAAGTGGTTGCCCATTGGCCAAAATTCGACTATAATTAATTATACATACATGGTAGTCTGTGTAATGTTTCTTTTTATTGATTTAATGTATTCTTAGACATCATTTAAAAAAAAACATTCTGTACTTCTCTATATGAATTATGTGTCAAAAATTTCCATCCGCGCAATTTTCCTAAGAAGGGTTAAAAAGTTTTTTCTTCACGTATTAATATATAGATAATAACATGAATTAATAACATTTGTCGTAAAATGTCAAACTTTAATTATCAAGACAAAGTAGAAGAAAAATATAAAAACATTTCTTATTTTGATTATGAAAAATAAAACGTACACATTTGAAGAAAATGAAGTCTTCATAGTTCATTAAAAATTTATTATCCGATAAATCTGAAACACGATGGTTCTACGGCCACTTGAATAATTTCTTTGCCTAATTATATGACTTTAATGGATGTGATTTATTAGACAAGGCAGTGATTCATGAGCTTAAATTAAATGTGGTGGCATTAATAAAATTACACTTTTATTGAAATTCTATCATATTTTTCAAAGAATATAGTAGTTCTATATTTTAAAGCTTCTTGCAAATAAATAATTTGTATCAATACTTTTCTTGTGTAATTAGTACAGTGTTACATTTTCCATTTAAATTAGGCGGATTTAACATACACCTTCAAAATGACTTGTTTTGAATACACCAAATAATTTATAACCATTAAAAGTACCTACATAAAGAGTAACTTTAATAAATAAAAAAAGAAGAAACCTGTTCTTTTATTTCATAAAACATTTCTCAGGATCTATTTAAATTATAAATGGATACTTAAAATCGTTTAGATGACACTGAGTGAAAGTAGTACTCCGTGGAATTGGGTCCTTTTATAATAAAATCTTTTCTAAAAATTTTACGTCAATGAATACACATCTACTAAATAAGGCTAGCAGTTTATTCAACAGAGAGCACATGATTAATACACCATCATTAGTGCAACACTGGAGCGCTTGCAGAGGCATTGACAACCTTTAAAAACGGGGCCGCGGTTACCTCACTCACCAGACGAAACTCAGAAGTATAACACATGCACTTCACGCTGGTCATCTGTTAGACCGTGGGGACGTCCCTAGACGAGCCTACCCAAAATCTAACGCGTGGCCCTTAGACATTTGAATTGGGTACATTTTTGTACGAGTTTAATTTAATATTTTGTATATATATGAGTTACCACTAATAAGCAATATTAACATACGAGGAGATCACAGTCATGAATTTCTTTAAGCTTGTCCATTGATTTATATTGAAAATTTTGTAAACTGGTGGTACAGTTTAAATTTGAATTTACTTTAAGTAATCTAAGACATATGTGTCATTATTTTGCATCTAGTTCATATTGGATATAACAGCACCTGCGTAAATGCGAAAACAATATTTCAAACCATTGTCTTGAGGTTTTGTAAGTCCTGTTCTAGATTTAAAATAACAACTAATGCAGAAGCAATCCGGTTATTTTTTTTATTTATACTTTATTGCAACCTTTAAATAAAAAGGATTGCAAAGGGCGAACTTAATGCCTATTGGCATTCTCTCCCAGTCAACCCGGGGCGTTTATTCTATTTCTTCGGAAAAAAATATAATATAAAACTAATTTGTACAAACAGACTTTCCTGTAACCTATACATTTTTCGAAAGGATATAAAAAATTAAACGCAAAAACTTTCTACATTTGTTTTATTTAACAATATGTAGTATTCGCGTAAACACAATATAACATTGAATAAGAAATATTTTTTTTATATGAATCATCTCGCCCGATCTTCCTTTGGTTACTCTTTGACCTATGCTCTCAATAAAACAAATAGCTTCTGATAAAGCCAATTGGAGTCTAGTGGTGTAGCGATAATCCGAAAGTACACACGTAAAAATGGCTCGTTTACTGCTTATTATTTTCACATTAATCATTAGCAATGTCTATTCCTATGTTATGATAAACAATTACGATGGATATGAATGCGACCTGAGACCAGAATTGCTTTATGAAATAGCGTCATACCAGCGCATTGCCGATAGAATAATGTACGAAATAAACAATACACTTGGCGTAAAGATGTATAATGAGTGAGTAACAATGACATATTATTTTCTTTCCTTCCGTATGTTCGCTTACATATTTTTATTATTGTCTACCAAAAACGATAAAAGAAATTATTTTATCTTAAATGTATACCACAAATTGCCAATAAACGTGTGCTATAAATAAATTATACAAATTTTCAGATACGCTAAGTTTATTGATGAGTTCGGAGCGCGGCCGTCTGGGTCTCAAGTGTTAGAAAATGCGATAGATTATATGATAAATCTAACAATAAGTAATGGTCTTGACAGTGTTACAACTGAAGCCGTGCGGGTAAATATTTTTTATTTAACATGTAAAATTTCATGCTCTCCAGTCTTATAAACAAAAATACCAAACTTCTTAAGCTATTATCATAAGAATTTTAAAAAACTTGTAAGTCTTCATTTTCAAAAAGATACTTTCCAATAGACGAGAAAAATTTATATTTTTGATTTCTTATGTGCAAGATAACCTTTTTACCGTATATTTTTATATGGTCGGCTCATAGATAGTATAGAGTCCCAAACATACTCACTAAGTCTAAAACTAAGTCATCAGCAAAATACAGCCATCAGCATTGCTGCTGATGACTTAGTCAATCTATTAAAGTAATCAGATGGAAGTCTGAGTTTAATACAATTTGATATCAATTACAATTTTTTATTATTTTTCTTTAAGGTACCACATTGGGTGCGTGGCTCTGAAGCAGCCATAATGATACAACCTCGTTTCAAATCAATTTCCATACTTGGATTTGGTCCAAGCGTAAGTACGCCCGCAGAAGGAATCACCGCAGAAGTAATTGTTATACGCAGTTTCAACGAATTAAACAATATAGATGAAGATATAATAAAAGGCAAAATAGTTGTATTTGATGCCCCTTATTCTTCATATGGTGAAACTGTAGCGTACAGAGTAGAAGGTGCTTCGAAGGCATCGAAAAAAGGCGCTGTTGCGACACTTATAAGGAGTGTTACACCTTTCTCATTATACACCCTACACACTGGGTCACAAGTGTATGAGAAAGATGTCACCAAAATACCTACTGCAGCCATAACTCATGAGGATGCTGATTTGATGAGAAGATTACAGGACCTAGGTGAAACCATTGTTTTAAATATAAGGATGTTTAACTCGCTCAGTTTGAAAACTTCAAGGAACACTTTGGTGGATCTTATTGGTCGAGAGAATCCTGATAAACAAGTAATCGTATCAGGGCACATAGATAGTTGGGATGTAGGACAGGGAGCAATGGATGATGGCGGTGGTATGTTCATTAGCTGGTATGTACCAGTGATTCTAAATAAACTTAACCTGAGACCAAGGAGGACTATTCGAGCTATACTTTGGACTGCGGAAGAACCAGGCCTTGTCGGAGCCTTTGCTTATTTAAAAAGGCATATGAATAAACTCTCAGATATAAACTTTATAATGGAATCAGATGAAGGTACTTTTAAGCCATTGGGCTTGGATGTGTCTGGATCCAAAAATGCTGTTTGCATTATAGCCGAGGTTCTTAAATTATTTCAGCCAATAGATAAGCTAAAAATAAGTGAAACTGTTGGTTCGGATATAACAATTTTTAATAGCAAAGGCGTACCCGGAGCCTCTCTTCTTAATCAAAATGACCGGTACTTTTGGTATCATCACACTAACGCTGATACAATGGATGTCCAAAATATGAACGACGTAATAGAATGTGCCGCTTTCTGGGCCGCGTTCTCCTTTGTCATTTCGGACTTATCCATTGATATTCCCCGATATTGACAAAGACAATCAATTTTGTAATCTCAATTGACATTACAAATATTTAAAAGGCTTAAAACATTTATTCACAACTTTTTTTAATAAAAAAATAACCTTAATATAAAATAAACAATTTTGTTATACAACAGTTGATGTGGTTTATTTATTAATGCAATATGCCCGGAATGAGCAGATAGTGTAATAGTTTAGATCATCTTACCGATCTTATGAAAATATATTTTTTTTTGGTTTTATTTCGATATCATGCAGGTTTACTTCATCGCTGAGCACTTGATAAGTAAGGATTAAAAATTGACAATTTCATTGGTGCCTGGCACCGAGGATCGAGCCCAAGTTGCTCGAGTATATTGAATTAAATGCGAGTGCCCGTAGAGTGAGTTATCGCTATGACTATTATTTATTTCGAACTTTGGCACATTTTGATTCCGTCATATCAAGTTTGTAGAATCTCCCTTAGAAATTACCAGCACAGGCGAATTCTCCTTACTACTACTACTACGGGCTATGAATGACCCTGTCAAGAAAATAGTTCAAAAAATCAATTATGTCTTTAGCTTAAATCAGAAAATCAGTCCTTCGTATAAGTAGCCCTTAATAATAGTAATTCGTATAAATATGCCCCACGTAAAGTTACCTTTATTGAGGATGCTGTTTAAATACAAATTAAGGGTTACAAATTCTTACTTGTATTCAAAACCTGCTCATCATTTAAGCTTACAATGGGAAGATCTATTAAAACTAAGGATATTTAGTTGCTACCGTAATTAACTTTCACTTCCATCCCGGGTACGTGATAATACCTAATTAATGATAATTTGTAATATAACAGTGACTTTATATTTATATCGAAAACGTAATTCTCATTTTTACTCATTCTTAGAACCATTAAATTGGAATAGTAGTAATTTTTCATGGATTCATTACCAATTTTTCGTTATCAACTTACATGATGGCAATTTATATGGCTGCAAATTGATTAAGCTTACATCAGAGACGCAAATACAGTTCTAATATAAACAGAAGATAATTTACAATAGCATACTTCCTCTTACACTGTATAAAAATTCATTAAATTAATTAATTAAATGCATAAATATTATTTTATTACATGCATATACATATAGAACCATTTGTGTATACATTTATAATTTAATTAAGAGATATTGTATAAAATATTAAAAGTTTTTCCATACAGATTGATAACATGAAAATATTTATAACTAGCGGCCCACCCCGGCTTCGCACGGGTAACAAAAAATTTTAAAAAATAAAAATTATCTTACACACACATAAAACCTTCCGAATGTTTCGTCTGTGGTGAATAATTTTATGAATTTCTTAATCTTTTAATGAAATATCCTTGAAATTACGTTATGAAGATCGAAACATCGCTGACCAGATAATGGTTCCGCTTTAATTACGGGACATTCGGGGTTACACGTAAAAGTGACAAATAAGTCTGGTGTCCCATAGCTTCAGACATAAATCATCGCATCTTTGGTTTTTTAATGCAGATAATTCTGAGAACCTGTAAATGAATATGACGTTGCAGATAACGCGTTAACCGATGTTTGATGGGCCAATGTCTTGATTTAAAGCATCTCTAAGATGAATGTTTCACCAGCCCTCAGTATCTGGTTATTATGACATAATATGTAATTCAATCTTTCTGATATCTTTTTGCCATCATATCGACAATGTATTGAATTAAAACCGGCCAAGAGCGAGTCGGACTCGCACACGAAGGGTTCCGTACCGACCTCACAGAAGACCGGGGTAAAATAGAAGTGTTATACTTCTACTTTTCGTCTGGTGAGAGAGATTGCCGGGGCCCACTTTATTTAAAGATGGCAACTCATTTGCAACCCTACAGGTGTTGCAAATGTCCATGGGCGGCGGTTATTACTTAACATCAGGTGAACCGCCAGATCGTTTGCCACTCTATCACATTCAAAAATATCATGTTTTAATATATTTATTCAATATAGAAATATTACTCTTACATATTGTCAAAAACACTACTGCAAAACAACATTAACCGGCAAAAAATCATGTCTGTTTTATGGGAGTCCCTCTTATTTATATATTTTTTATTTTTTAGTATTCATTGTTATAGCGGCAACAAATGACAACGAAATACATCGTTTGTGAAAATTTCAACTCTCTAACTATCACGGTTCATGAGATACGGTCTGGTGACATATGGACAGACATACGGACATACAGACAGACAGCGGAGTCGTAGTAATAGGGTGCCGTTTTAACCTTTGGGTACGGAACCCTAATAAGTCCCAGTAATAATGTAATGGATTAAAACAGGTAGCCCTAACCATCAACCTAAATGCATAAAATTTCATGCATGTCACAGTTTTGTTACACACAGTACCTTGCTGAGGAATAGTCAAATATTAACCGTCTTCTCCTATTACGACTATTAAGAGATATTTTAGTGGATCATACAATCGTTGTAACTCAGAGACCCTTTTAAGTTGGCCGTGTCTACCGTGCAACACTATATATCTGGAGCCTTTTTAGGATTCCATACCCAAAGGGTAAAACAGGACCCTATTACTAAGACTCCGCTGTCTGTTTGTCCCTCTGTCAACAGGCTGTATCTCATGAACCGTGATAGTTACAGACTTGAAATTTGATTTTTGAATTTAGGTTTTGTGGGTATTTGTTTCCCAAGGAGGCTTGACGTCAGACAGGGGGCTGGTTGTAAAAATATAGTTGTGCCGATCCCACCTAGGTGGGATAGGGGCAGGAGGATAATGATAACTTGTATACTTGTCCCTCTATTTTAAAAGTTCACGCTAAACGAAATCATTTGAAAGAAGCTATTGAACTTTCGAATATTGGTTAAAAATGTCCGGATGGTGAATAATATTTGTCAAAAGATTTTTTATTGGCTGAGGCGGCTCCTCAATATTGGGGAGACTAACTTTTCCAGAAGCACAGCACATACCATTTGGTTCATCGACCCATTTTTTGGCAGAACACTTAGAGCAGATCTTATTCATGGCTCCGATTTGGACAAAAGACTGTTGAGCTTGATGCATTAAAGCTGATCTGTTACTGTGAGCTAAAAGTCGATTACGAACTCTAATCGTTGACGTTTGTTGTCTTTCCCTCTAATCTCGTAGGCGTTGGAAACGCTCAGAACTCGACTCCCAAGTGTGAATTTGTATATTTATATTAATATGTTCTTCAAGCCGCTGCAAACACTACTTGACTCTCTCCGACTTTTAAGACTATTTTCAGTTTCCGGTAAAGATTCCTCATTACGACGTATTTTTGATGCCCTCGCCTGGAAACTATTTCTAGAAAGATGAGATCTTTAAAATGATAAAAAAAATTAAACTGCCTTTGCATTTAATAATGTGCTAACTATCGAACAGGAATTACCAGTATAAATGTGATTGAAAAATTATAAGAACTACTAAGTCAGTCACTAAGCTGTTTGGATAGTTAAATTCCAATATACTAACATTTTTAAACTTGTGATATCTCTCGAATGGAATGTCCGAATTTAATAATTCAAAAAGTTATATAAAGATATTGAAACAGTCTTAAATATGAAGTAATTTATTTTTATAAGGATTAATACCAAGATACAAATAAAGAGTCTTTTCTAGCGGCGGCATTTCAATCAAAATTTTAAAATAAAAGAACGCTTATTGTGGCATAACCATAATAGTTAGACATATGCTGTCGCGACACTTTTTGTAAATAATGATGTGTTCTGCAAAGTCATAGTACATTATTTTATTCTATCATCAATAGTTTTCGCAGCGCACGCGATGTAAAGAATATTTTTGGTAATTTTTGTACACTTTGGTTTACATTATTGAAGTTTTAGTAAGGATCCCTATTTTTTTTGAAAATATAATATATCCTATATCAAGTAGGTATAGTGTAGCTACCCAACAATGAAAGAATTTTTCAAATCGGTTCAGTAGTTTCGGAGCCTATTCAATACATACAAACAATCAAATCTTTCCTCTTTATAATATAGAAGAAGAAGATAATTTTACAAATATCAAATCTTCTGCGAAATTGCTCACAGTGATTAGTGCAAATCGACGTAAGAGAGTAGTTAAGCCGTCACTTAACTAATAATTAAAGTACAAGTTACAGGATGAAAACTACGAGATAAGTCTTTAAGGCAGTAGTGGGATACGGAAAATTAAATTAAAATAATGTTGACAATAAATTATTAAAAATTGTTAATTGTACCTGAACCTGACACATGACAAGTGTAAAGGCCGGAAATTAAAACAAAAATAATATATTCAAATACAAATCATTAATTAAAGTTAACATCGTCCAATTTATGTGTTTACTTAAGAATACATCTTACAACTATTATCTTATATTGGATCATCGGTCCTTGGTTTCATATCTAGCGCCCCACTGTTATTTTGCATTTGTTTTATTAGTTTTATATTTGGCATCATTTAGTTCCTACCCATTATTGGATAGGTACATATTTAATATTTGTAGTTACACAGTATAGAAAAGCCCATTATCGTAAAAGACGTCTATATAATTTCTTTAATACCCAGTTTTGCCGGTCCCCGGCGGGCCATAAATTTAAACAAAGCCCGCATGAGCTAAGGTCCGTTATTATTCTATATCATTCTTAAATATTATTCTATATCATTATTTGCCTCAATTTGTAAATGGGCTGCTCACATTATTTTTACTTGATTAAGAAAAATTAATAAGATAACAAGCCAGCCGGCAATTTACCTGAGGTTAAGTCTTAGTG